TAATAGCGTCTATAATACTATCTGCTACAAATATATACAGGGTGTGGAAGGCGTGTCCATATCAAATGAGGAGTCGACATGGTGGTAATCTGGTCAGGGTTCACACCAAGGTTATTGAGGAAAGGTGCACCGCCCCAGACTGGACAACAGAGTGGATAGAACCTTTCTCTTCGTAGTGGCAGGAGCACGTGCCAGAATCCTGATGTGCAGCCGCTGCTCAACAGGTAGTAATTTGTATACCTTGCGAATAATTTTGGGTTCCTCTCCAATGCCCCAGGTAAACACCGACTGACCCAGCTGGTTGGCACGGGTTCGAATAACCTTACCATCAATTTAAGGTCTGATAAACAATATGTAACACACGCGTAAAGTGGTACCATTTATGAACCCGGCGCCAAGCGTATTAGGTCTGTTTATTAAGCATTAACCATGCAACTAATTAATGGAGGAGCCCGGACTGACTGACACCCAGAATATCCGGCATCGACGACATAAAGAGACCGTCGCGTGAGACGAAAGGCACGACAGACCAATGGATGTGTAGGCCCTAGCCGAGGAGAGCAGTATTAGGTCATCAAAAGACACTAAGGTACAGGCTACGCCTAGCAATCACAAAATTGTTAGGACCACGATCAGCGCAGATCGATGTGGATAAACAAATTCGCGACCCTATCGTATCTCTCTTGCAGTTAAGATAGACCTTACTACAAACTATAAGACCATGTCTCTTTTCAAGCAGTACAGTCTGTCGCAACAATGCAACCTGCTGCGCCGTTTACTTGTCCAATTGCTTGATTCAGTGTGCGTACTGTGCGCTGGATGCACACCTTGTAATGACGTCAGGTCGCCTGAACAGTCGAAGTCTTTGACTAAGTAGAGATATGGTGGATTGCTGTGCGGAACTGGCTTCGTCATGTACAGGACATCAGATCGTAAGACTGCGAATGCGTCAGAGTGTGCTACAGTGTGATGGCAGCCAGTAGCTGTGACGTAGCTGAGCAGAGCGTTCGCTTGTTATAGTCGCTTTCAAATTAACATTGTTACTTACAATCGCCTCCTTTCTTACGATCTTCTGACTCCCAATCTTAGTTGTGAAACGTCGTTTTCGGGGCGAAGCATCTACGATTCCCATGGTCTCTTCACCCTGAAAGTTAATTATCAGTGCTACGGCGTGTGTAGTGACGCCTTATCATTACTGATAATAGCCCACATCGACGAGAATGGAGTTCTGGGAAAGAGGATGCGACGAGGGCGCGACAACGGTATTGAGTAGCTGGACAGGGACAGAGAGCAGTTGCATATGGAGCACTGCTTTAATCGAAGTCAAGTAACGGTTTGGAAAGATAAGCGCTCGTTTAATATCATAACTTCTGGTTTTACTCTTTTTGCCTTGAGTGCCATCTTCCGGACTTCAAATTGGCACTGTCACCAAGCATCCCCCACACGATACATCGCCTGCATAGAAGAATTCGGAGAAACATATGCACACGAGTACGCAGAGTGACAGGGTGGCTTTCATTTGTCAACAACTCACCACATACATGCTCCATGGACAAAAGGAGCAGCGTGCGTAGTTATCTAAATTTACACTGAGGACAATTGGTTTTGCGATCGGCGCGAAAAGGTTGTCAGATTCCTCACGAACAAATTGGTCAATATCTACGTTAACATGTCGTTGTCCATGTCCCTGGTCGTAACCATTCGTGCAGAACAGGTGCCTGAATTGCTGGTCGGCCATGCTTAAAAACGCCTCGAGAATACTTCACTGGAAACAAAAACGCATACCTCAATGGATCAGCGCAAGCTTTGTTTGGTTTTCTATTCTACCACACAATATCTATCCTAAAAATATGCGTTATTTATAGCAAAAGTGGTATTCAGAAATATTCTAGCGGTTTCTCAAATGAAGTTGTGCGTTAATTCAATGACATCTTATCAAGCATTCATATGGTATATTCTTTTGTTTTCTTTTGATCTAGAGATTGGGTACCGAGCACTTTGTAAGAGCTTGCGTGAGCTACTGCTGTGCGTGTTTGGTCCGTTGTTGACGTTGACAGAGGCTAGCTAGACCCCAACAGCACGATTTTGAGTGAAGGCAGGCCTTGATCAGTGTTCAAGTCGACCAGCTTTCTTAATCGTAGCTTGGGCCCTCATATTGGTATGCGAATTCGAAACAGCTTGTCGCATCCTTTGAAGATGTGGTCAGGATCACTGCTCGCTTCTCCACACTGATTGCGCTTGTGGGAGCCGTGGGTAGGCGCCGTTGTATCTTTCAAATGCAAAGCGCGCGGCTTCGCTGTTAAACTTCGTGGACCGACGCAACTCTGTCAAGAAAAGTCCAATGCCTCTTGACCGGCTGCACGTTACGACCCGACAAGTCGCCGAAACGACCAACAGGCGAGCGGATGGACTATCTTGAGAACGATCGCCAAGTCATTAATGAACGCGGAAGAAATGTGCATTGCGGTGCTACTACCAGACAGACGTCAAACCCATGACCCAAAACATCGTCCTTGCTCCTTCGCGAGCCGGACGGTTTCTTTCGTGCCGTCCGGCTGAATGAAAAGTATAGCCACTATGGTGTCCTAGTTGTAGCTCATAGAAGTATACGAGACCCTGAGCTCGTTTCGCATGCATGGACCGCTTTGGTAGGGCTATGGCCCGAGACTGCTGGACCGTTCATGCCTGCGGTCGTCAAAGTCTGCAAGAACCACCAGAGCATTCGACGACCGAGCGCATGCTTCGTATGTAAGGTGCGAAGGGCACTGACTCGGTCAATAAAGACAGGGCTCGAGCGAGAAATTCAGCGACACGATGCATCTATGCAGCGCGATGGCCGACCGAAGGTGGCGTGCTGTGCGTAGACGGAATTGTCCTTGCATGAGCTGCAAGATGAGCGCGAGGCAGGCAATTGTGTTTGAGCTCGAATGGTCGCAGGACGGCTCTTCGATCCTAAGTCCGTTAGCAACGCTGGTTTCGCTCTGGTGAGTCCATTGATTGTACGGGGCTTGTCTCCTGAGGTGACGGCTCTCGGGATTGCCTGGCGATCACGCGCTGCTACGATAACAGGCGTGCGCCCTGGATTTTCGTGTCGTCCTGCCAATACTCGCGCTTGGAGTGCTGCAGGATCTGCAGGATGTGTGGTGCGCTGAGCGGAGTTACTGTCGTCGCCTTGCAAGATCCGATGCCCTTTTTGTTGGCGGAACTGCTGTCGCTGTACGCAAGCCAGATGGACGGCTCTTGACAAACGAGCGAGCTATTCAAGCCGACTCTCCGGTCCAGGAAGAACAGCACCTCGACGTATAAACCTGACGTTCCTGGTCGCTCTGACTCAATCATCACGAGATCGGGACACGTGGGCCCAATGTCTAGCCCCCTTATCCACGGCTTCTAGGCTCACTGCGCTGGGTCAACGAGGAGGTTGGCAAACGCCCCGAGTGCTCACGCGTACAGGAGACTTTGCCGACAAACGTGGCACATATTGGGTCGTTGCTGAGGTCTTGTGGGGTATCAGATGTAAAAGCGTCCAGCTTTGCGTGTCCGTGGAAGTCGTGGGATAGACTTGCCGCCGTCTACGCCCCACTGAATGACCGCTGGATAATCAATGACGTCCAGCCTGCCCTCGCGTGTCATCTATCGCCTACGAAAGACGACCAGTCGCGAAAGCACTCGAGTCGACATCAGTTGCAGCGCTGCGTGAAAGACGGCGCGTACCGGAACCCACTCCGATGACAGCAACATCGATCGTCAGCTCCGTTCACATGTCTCGTGTTCAGTGACGAACGTGTCCGAATGCTTGCGAAGCCTATTGCCAGTTCATCGGCATTCGGCACAAGGACTCTGTGTCGCCGCTGTGTGCTCGAGGGCACGCCCACTGACTCAAGTGGCGCGTCGATCGTTGCCATCACTCGTGGTCAGGGCGGACCGCCATCACTCGTGGTCAGGGCGGACCGGCCCCGGGTGGCCATGTAAAGCAGTATATCCCTCATGCGTAAGTCGAACGCAGCACTGCAGCTGCCTCCGTGGCGCACTTGACATCTGAATGGAAACCAAACGTCATTTGCGACAAGAGTCCAGCGATCGAGCAGGCAGATAGATGGTGGACGTGACGGCTTCAGCTGCCGTGCATTTGTGTGTGTGTGTTGTCTTGACAATGGCAAGTTCGTTAGAGGCTGCGTTGGTCGTCGCATGGCATCGTAGATGGCTTGAGAGAGCGTTCATGCAACAAGGCATGCCACCCTTCCTCAAGATTGCACACACACAGACACACACACAGACATAGAGACGCACACATAGAGACGCACCACTCGTGCTGCACCACCACCAGACAAGCGGTCAAGAGGCACCAAAGACGAGCCGCCAAACGGGTATCTTCTGAGCACCGCCGCCGCTGAACCGAATCCCACTGCGAACTCGTTCAGTCGACGCAGCTGTCAAGTGCGACGGATGACGACGATCGAGGAACAGGTTTTCGGGTGGACGTGTGGTGGCCAAGCGTTTGTGTATCTCGGGAGCGAGAGTGGCACGTTAGCGTGGACAGCGCGACGTCCCACTTGGCGCTCTCGCACTCGCTCTCGCCGCCGCGCCGTCTTTCTTGTCCCATTGCAGACGGCCACAGGGTGGACCGACCGACCGACTGGCTGACCGACAGAGGCCGACAGAGACCGACAGACAGACGACCGATCGATTGTTGCCCTGCGCTTTTGCTCGCCGTCGTGTAAACAAACAGCACACGCACACGCCCGTCTACGTTCCCGTCTCTCGTCTCTCGTCGTCGTTCCAAAGACCTTTTCCTGCTTCAGTATCTCTTCGGCCGAAGAGTTGAGGGAAAAGTCTCCTCCTGCACAGCTTCCGACACGCACTGTGCAGTGCTGCACCATACCGTCGGCTCAGACGACGTTTTCACTCGGCCTTTTGCACTCCGTCTGTCAAGTTCGTGCAGCGCGAGTCGACCGCCGTCACTAACCACACATTCCCACCCACTCGTACGGACGGACGTAATGGCGGACATTGTAGACGGCGACCGCTCTTGTCCTCTTGCATTGCACGCGTGTTCGCCCTTGTCAGTCTCCCGTAGCGTAGTCGAGTTAGAGACCGTCACGACCTTCTCAGGTCTCGATCACCACCGACGCGTGACGCTGTCGCCGGACGAGGTCCAAATCTGTACCCGTCTGGCCGACCTGTTGCTGGCCGACACCTTGCGCGCGTACGTCGACACGAGTAGCGGTAGTGCCAAAGTAGATTCCCAGCAGTGGAAGCTCGTCAAGAAGAAGGACCAACTAGGGGCGTACAAGCACAAGCAGCAGCAGCAGCACAGAGCTGCAGCTGCACTCGGTGCGGGGCACTCTATGGAAGAAGGAGAAGAAGTGGCGGGCACTTGCTCGGCCACTGAAGCAGCAGCAGCGCCACCGTTGCTCCTTGTTACGGGCCACGTCGCTGGCCACGTGCACGACGCCATGTACGGCCTCGTGAGTGCCAATACACGGGCCATGCAACTCAACGGCGCGTACGCGGACGAGACCCTCGAAGACGCTCAAGTGCTGGCGACGATCAAAGGGCCAACCGTTAACGACCCGTTCCGCTTCCTCGGGATCAAGTGGGCCGTGCGTCGCCACGGCACCAGGTCGGGCTCGACCTTTGTCAAGCGACGCGATCTGCTCTACTTGGAAGCCACAGGCACTACGCAAATGACGGACGGACAGTATATCGGATACCGTGTCGTGCACTCGGTGCGCATCAACGCACTGCCTCGTCCCTCGTCTTCTGTCGTCCGTGCGCGCATGTCCATTGTGCAGCTGTTCCACCAACAGGCGACAGGCGACGGCGCGCGAGGGCTCTCGGGCACGTTGAACGTGTTTGCAAGAGGGTACTATGACCCACAAGGCGATATGCTGCAGTTCATGGCACTGCACGCAGGTGCCGAGTTGTTGCTGCACATGACGTTCTCGGCAGTGGACTGTGCGCACCTCAAGAAGATTGCGTTTGCGACGCAACACGCGCGTCAGTGTCGACAAGGGGTGGCCAGTCAGCTCTTCAAAACCAGTTACAGCGGCGTCGACCGCGGCGTTATGGCAGGCATCGAAGAGCTGCTGGACGAAGACGCTGGGCTGTTGCGGGACAAGGCCTGGTCGACGCACTGCTCGCTGTGTGAGCGCCGCGTCGGTAGTTTGCTCAATCGAAGCGGGAGACCCTGTGCCATTTGTGCCAGGACCGTGTGCTCGCGCTGCAGTGTGGTCAAGAAACTGCACTTCTTTCGCTGCGATGGCAGCAGCTTACCAGGTGATCATGTCATGGGTCTAGAAAGGAGCAGAAGTGTGCAGCAGCCGCCGCTGGAGCACCCCGAAGCGTCTCGAACGTCGACCGAGCGAAGTCGAAGCAGTAGCGGCAGTTCTGCGGCCAGCAGTATGAATGGCATGCGCCAGCAAGCGCTCAGGTTCTGCCTGCCGTGTGTGCTGCGCGCCACGCAACGCAATGCGTCGCAGCTTGTCGTCGAAGAGCTTTTGGAGCAGACCAGCCTCGACCTGGTCACGCCGCGGAGTACACTGGACCAGGTGACTGGCGACGCTCGTCCGTCGCCCATGCGGCGGCGGTCGACGCAGTCTGGACGGTCCCACCACTCTGCTCAAGCTCCGTGCGGATCGAACCCGTCGTCTCCGTACGCGGCCCCTATTTATCCCCAGCCGCGGCAAAAGGCTTACAGTGCACCCGCTATCCAACGTGGCGTCCATCGCTCGTCTCCAGCTGCCCCGCGCGTGATGCTGTACGTGGAAGACCCGAGATCGCACTTGTTGGGATACAGCGCTGCCTAATTCATGGGCTGCTGCAGCTACTGAAGTAAGGTGATGGACATGAGTGGCAAGGAGTACGCTGGTAACAGCGTATAGCAACGCAGATTGAGCTGGGAAGCGATCGCGTAGTATATGTATGTACATATCAATCGTAAGGTGATTGTGCTCGTCAGGATGGACTGGACATGATACTGCCACGACTTTATCGAACGACAGTGTGACAATGTCATGAACCATCGAGTCAGCCATTGCACGGGTTGGCAACATGCAGGACAAAGACGTTGCCAAACTTCTCTGTCTCCTCGAGATCATTGCGTCCTAAAGCAATCCGAGAAAAAGTCGGCCTGATCACGACTTGCTTGAGTTGTTCCCTCCTGCTAAGGCGTCGTCGAAGACAAGGGGTTAGCACGCTCAATGTCGAGTCAATGGAGCGATACAGCTCAAGCTCGTGACACGAACAAAGTATAGACAAGATGTCTTGCAGCGGCTGAAAAAAAGAAGAGAATCGTATTCGAACTGACAACTGCAAAGATCGGTACACTGATGAAGTGTGACGCAGCACTTCATGGCAGCCTGGAAGGTCATAGTGTAGGCAGTGTGTTCACGTTGCTAAATGCCTGTACATGCTGACTCAAGAGCACGATTCATCCGTAAATGGGGCGTTGGAAAACTTCACATTTGTCGACATTGATGAAAGTCTGTCCGTGTCCATTTGCTGATGGCCACGACGGTAGCTTGAGATGGCAACAATCGACAAGCAGTCGTCTACGACCTGCACTCGTGGTACAAACTCAAGGACGCTGAAGTGTTGCGCTTGAGTCAGCAAACTTCAAAGCTGAACTTTGACGCCAATGGAAGTCGTGTTTCGGCGAAAATTGCTCGACATCCGGAAGGAGATCCAGCATGCCCACAATTACGTACATTCATGATGCATATCAAGCTGCGGAAAGATATGGCTCCAACGCTTGAGCGCTTGCTGAAAGACGACGCGCTTTGAGGACAAAGCTGTTGCAAAGGCACAGATGAGGGCATGAAAGGGTATGCCGTTTTACAGCAAGAGGCACGGGTACTAAAGCACAGATGCTCGGGAGGAGCTGGCTGAACGTGGATGTCGTAACGTAGGATGTGTCACACTCTCAATATGACATGAGATAAACATGAAGCTCAGGTGGGCTCGTAAGTGAAACGCTAAAAGACCCTGTGTAGACTATTTCACTTTGTGCTCATGTCGGCATTTAGAGATCGTTTTGCGCGCTATACGGGAACAGTCATTCGACCTCTTCGAGTAGCCTGAGACGCAGTCGTACTGAGTCAGAACACGATATCACGCACCCGTATCGTTTTGGGTCCAAGATTGTAACAAATGGTCTACAATGGGACTTACAGATCAGCGGCAGTAACGCTATAAAGTGAGATATGTGGTGACCAAACTAGCTCAGGGCGTCGCGCGTCTGCATCACAACGTAACAGTCACTTTGTATCTGTGGTACATTTGACGAGTTTGTCATAGTCGGAACTGATGGTGCGACTGAGCGCTGTTCACCAAGCAACATTATCAGCAACCGCCCATTGTGACCTCTTTGCTAGGGACAGGTCGTAGCGTCTTGCAAACGACAGGCACCTTGTTACCAAATCGACAGAGTCGTCGTATGCCGATGTGCAAACGATGTCCTTGTTTGACAAGCATCAAGGCAAGCAATGATCGCTTTGACCATCGGTCGTTATGTACATCCAGACTGCCTTTTTTGTATTCGACACTTCGTCACACACACAACACGAGCTCGTACCTTTGGCGAAATGAAGCAAACTGATGCAATGAGACTTGACTGGCAACAAGACGTCGCTTGTGTGCAATGGAGTCACTACTTCACTCATTTTTGCAGTGGCAAACCTCTCTTAGCAAAGACCCTTGTGTTGATGTAGTCTGTGGCACGGAAGAGCACATCAGTCGTCCACGAACTGTAATTTATTGAGCAATTTTTCATGCTCTTTGTACGAACTAAAACACTAGTGCTGCCGCAGAATCAGAAAAACGAGCGCGCGTCGTGGGTATCTAGTATCGATGACTTTTGATGAAGTTGCAGATGGTCAGCAAGCGACGGGCACTGAATGTCGAACTTCACTGATGTGTCGTTGTCGCTCGACAGCACTGCCTGTCGTGTCAATAGAGCTCAGTATGATGGCAAACCCCTGCATTTGTCGTGTGTTGAACGATGATGTGCGTTTTTATCCATGAGATGCACCATACTTGTTCGTTTCTTGTCCGTTGCAAGATATTCAGACGACTGTTTTGGCTCAAGGGTGCAATTCGGGCAGCAAGGCATGATGATACTTGGAGCCACATGCCATCGCGACTTGCTTTTGGACAATGCTCACTCGCCAGTAGTGGTGGGCGCGGCATAGTGCTAAGGTAAAGGCAGAGATGGTGGATCGCGAGTGACGCTTTTACCAAGCCATGTTCGTATCTCTCACGACAATTGCAACACAGGTCAATTATGGCCTCATACCGCACTAATAGGAGCTTGCGTAGGTTGCGCTTCGCGGGAACAAGCAGGTCAAGTGTGTGAGTGCAAAAGGATGCATTCACTCAACAGTGACTACAGGAGATATACCTAAAACAGTCTACATGTGCATATTGGTCCTAATGTCGATACAGAAGGGCTTTGGAAACGCAAATGCACTACACTTCATCGCTCTGTCATCAGCTTTCCATGTGGCAGTGACCTGAAGTCGCCTGTTGGGAATATCTCACAATCAGAACGTCCCGTCAGGTGCGAAGTAGCAACTCGAGTTGACATCGACAAGTGCATGTTTGTGTCCCTTTTCGCACGCACGTGATTGGTTGAAAGGCGACGAAAGGCGAACACCGCAAGCTGTCACGAAGCCCTACTAAGTACGCGCACCGTTGCCAACTACGTCGCCGAGATCGCACACTGCAATCTATCGGCATGAGGGACAATGCACTCGCACATGTTCGCGCGCGCCCCAACGTCGTCAAAACAGCGCGTCCGAGCGATCGAAAGCACACGCGTACTACACCTACACACATGCTGTACCATGCGTTGACACGCCGGCCAAACTGGTGGCATCTGCACCCACTCACCCACCAAAGCAGTGGAAAGCGCACGTGCAGTCCGTACATGTCCTGAGATGGAGTTAATCACTAGAGATGGTACAGTAGGTCCACGAAGCCCCTTCCGTCAAAAAGGGCGTTCCCAATAGAGCGGGCACCTCGACATGGGCGACAGATAGCGACGAGCACGTCCGAATAGTACGCAAGACGAGGCCAGCGAGTCACTGAGTGAACGTTAGGGATCTTTTGCAGACAACACGCGCGTGTCTCCTTTGCTACCCGTCCTATATCTCAGGATGTTCATATGTTCATTCCCATTTATTGCTATAGACGTTGCTGTCGCTTCGTCCCTTTCGAGCCTCATGCTACAATCTACATGACGTCAGTTGCCGGCCCTCTGTCACACATACTCCGAGACGTGACGTTCAACGAAAGTGCATCGCAAGACGCAGGCAACGCGTCGTGCGATGTTGGACGCGGGTTGATCGATGATCGAGCGGCGGCTCACTGCACATGTCGCAATGGCAAACGCTTGTCCACCTTCTGCTCCAGCTCAAGAGTGGCCCAGTAACTTGATTCATACGCACGATCACTGCGTCGCCCGTGATCCGGCAAACAGGACGTAAAGTCGCCGGGCTCACGTTTCCCGCGACTGCGTCGTCTCCTCTCTGTTGTACGCACTTTTGGGGTCAGTGCTCGGCCCCCATTTGCCGGCTTGGCCTCCTTTTATCTCGGCGTTTGTATGCCAACTCCGAAGCTATTTTCGGGGCGGAGCGAGCGAGAGATTGTGGAAGAGCAATCACTTTGACGGACAACGACGACGGCGTCCGAGCGGGCGGGCGGTCCTTCTTCCGTGGAAGTTCCCTCGAGTTCGGTCGTCCCTTCTGTCAGGTGCAGGCGGCGTCGTGAACGTCCGTCGAGCAGCACGCGCCTGCACTCGATGGGCCTTTTCTACGTCCGAAGTTGACGGCATCTCGAAATTTTCCGACCAAAGGCATCGAGAGAGAGAGAGCGTGAGAGTGAGTGAGTGAGTGAGCGATACCGTCCACCGTTGCGAGCGCTTTTGGCAAAGATCAAGTGCGGGCGGGGGCGCACATCCCCACAGGCGATGGGGGACTCGATCTATAGGAAGCACGAGGTGGCTGTGCCTATCCATAATCGAGACCTTCAACGATCTTTCGAGCTATGCGGATCGAGTCGGTGCCAGAACAGACAGTCTGCACGCCCACCTTTGGCAACAGCTTCGCACGGTCGTCTCTTCGTCTCAGAAGACGGACGGCATCACGCGCTTCTGTCGGCGTTTCTCGATGCGAGCAGTGGCTTGCGACGTACGCGGCAGGTCGGGACTGTCCACGGACGTATGTACATGTCCCTCTCTCTTTCTCTCTTGATTTCCCTCGATCTCTCGATCTCTATCTCTAGAAGTCGATGATGGTCCCGGGCAAACGTGGTCAATGTCAAGGTCGATCGAGCACGTTCAGTCGCCTCGAGCGACAACGGCCATGCACCTCCATGAGCTGACGGTCTCAGAGTAGTAGTAGTAGTAGTAGTAGTTGTAGCAGTAGATGTTGTTGCAGTCGTCTGTCGTCGCTGCCTGTCCACTCTCGTCAAAGTGCCTGCAACTTCGAGCGCCGTCGACAACAAGTGCTATCGCCAGTGCAGCTCCATCCCCCGCCAGTCGTTCTCCCCCCGAGCTCGTCCCGTGCAGTCAGTCAGTCAGTCCGCTCGAGCCCCTCCCACTCACAGCACGCGTCAGCCACGAGCCAGTACAGCGAAAACCACACCACGTTGCGATCCCATATCAGTCGGATCTATCCACGACCGCATCGCATCACCCGCTCGAACCCGTCTCCTCTTCTCCTCCTCCTCCGCGTGTGTCCTGCCCATCGTTTTCTCCGCATCCCTTTCACCTGTCCCGCCGCCTACCGATCAGTCCATCCAAAGCACGTGCATCACCCGCTTCGCCACGGCGCACGTTTCTGATCCTCAACCGAAAACCGCGACGCCCGCCGTCTTACTTCTTGAATCGCACCGCCGCCGCCGCCGCCATTGCCACCTGCTCACGTTCCCCGCCTGCAGTCGCTCACCCGTTGCCACCACACGTCAGTCGCACTCACTCGCTCGCTCGCTCTCCATCCCCAACGCACATTCGTCAATCACTCCTCACTTCGTGGGCACACGCCGTCTCCGCCGCCGTCCCATTGACCGCGGGCCGCGACCATGAGCCACCGCTTCCCCCTCCCGTCGCTCCCCCCGCTCCACCTCTCGGCGCTCGAACGCCGCGCGAGTCGCGAGTTCATGCAGCTCCTGCTCGCGCACACGCTGCGCGAGTTCGAAGGCCACACGTACGGCCACGGCGGCGTTGCCGACACCCGGCGGTGGAAACCGCACACGCAGCGCGACGACCTGACCGTCTTCCGCGAGCGGTCGGCCGGTCGCACTGGTCGCCGCCTCTTGACCGCTGCGCGGCGACAGCACTGCTGCCTCGAGCTGCCGCTCTTGGAGCCGACGGTCGCGACGCTGTCGTCGCCGACGCTGTTGCTCACGGGCGTTCGCCGCGGCCGCGTCGAAGACGCCATGAGCGCCGTCGTGACCGAGAGCCAGCAGGACTTTGCCCTGGCCGTGACCTATAAGCACACGGACGTGGCCGACTGCGCGATCCTCGAGACGCTCGAGCCGCCGCGGCCGGCCGCGCCGTACCACTACCTCGGGCTCAAGTTCTTCGTGCGGCGGTCGCCGACCGAAGGCCACGTGCTCAAGCACCGACACAGTATCTATCTCGAGTTCAGTGGCCTCGCAACGTCGAGTCGCGGCGAAGTCGTGGGCTTCCACCTCATGCACTCGGTAGCGCTTGCACCGGGCGCGGCCTTCCCCGACCTACGGGCGTTCAACTCGATCCGCGCGCTGCAGTCGACGCGGTACGTCTACCGCCAAAAGACCGACGCGCTCGTCGACGTCTTCATGGTGGGGAACATGGACATTGCCGGCCGCGTCGTGCGGCCGCTCGCCACGCGCTATGCGATCGAAACGGTCGTCGGCGTCACGCGGCTGCTCGCGCTGGCCGAAGTGCGGCGGCTGTCGCAGATGGCGCACGCGCAGCGGACGTTTGGCACGTGGGCGACGGCCGTCGCCGACGGACGGGGCACCTGCCACGTGTGTGCGACGGCCGCGGGCGCGAAGCGCAAGACGCTGCAGCACTGTGTGCTCTGTGGGCACGCCGTGTGCCGCGCGTGCACGACGGCCAAGCGCGTGTTCCAGAGCGACGACAGCGGCATCTTGGGCGCGTTCGAGAAAGTCGCGGCGTGCACGCAGTGTGTGCAGCGGGCGAACACGGGCGCGTTCTTGACGCCGCACGAGCGCGTGCGCCGGACGCCGGTGAAGGAACTGCCGGGTGCGTTCCAGAAGCCCATGGGGCGGCCATCGGGTCCATTGCCGATGGCAGAGATGGAGGAGATGGACCGCTGCGGGGCGAGCGGACGGTCGGGTTCGGGGGGGCCCCGACGGGAGACGTTTCCGTCCGCGTCGTCGTTGGGTGTGGCTCCGGACGTGGAGCAGCACCGCATTGGTCAGAGTCTGCCGACGACGTCGCTCTTGAACGGGTTGGACGACGACGAGCTCGACGGACTCGACTCGTTCCTGGAGAACCGACCACGACCGGTGGATCCTACAACGACTACGACTGCAGTGGTAGGAACTGGGACTGCAGAGGCTACGAGGCCCCAAAGGGGTTGTTGCTATGCCGTCGTGGACGAGTCGAGTCGACCGCGTCCGCTTCTGCGGGCGTCGGACGCGCGGGTGGTGTACAATTTGCTGCCCTCGAAGGGGCACATGCCGCACCGGAAACTCGAGTTACCGAGCAACGCGTCTGCCGCGCAGCGGTCGATGATGGTCCGACTGTTGGAGCTGAGCAAGATCGCTGAAGACACGTCGGCGACTGCGCGACGGAACCGCTTGTACTGCGAGCAGTACTGGCGAGAAGAGCTCGAGAAGGAGGGCGAGCTGATTCGTCGCACGCAGTGCTGAATCGAGTGGTGCACTGGACGGCACTTGGTCACTTGTGTATGTGCACATTCATGCGACGGGATATCTCGATGGTTGAAGAGGAGGGAGAGCATGACGAGGGGATGGAGTGACGATGGGCGGGGAAGTGAATTGGACTGGAGGACAGATATGTAGTAGCCTAAATATGTTAAGACACTTGTAAATTGAAGGTATTGGGATCGATGGAAGAGGTCGGCCAACGCTCAGTGCGTGTTTCGCTTCTCGGAAAACGGAGGAAGTTTTTCTAGTACTGCTGCTGATGGGTATTTGTCGGCTCATGTATTATTGATATGGATGTTCAGTTGATGAGGACGCGGTCTGGTTGTGAAGCGGTCGGTCGTGTGGGGGGTCGTTTGTACCGTTGTTTCTAGCAGTGAACTGCACGATTGTTGCCTACAAAGTGCAAGTGAACTCGACATCGTGGACCTCGCCGACTGTGAGCACTTTTTGTAAGCAGTATATGCTGTTTTCGTCCGTGCATCCTATCGCCGTGACGGGCGTCACTCTATCGGGTGTTTGCCCGTCCGACGGAGGGAAAGTAAAACGATCGAGTCAGGAACGGTCCCCCCGTGTTGCTGTGGCCCAAGTACGAGGCCCACGAAGCGCTTTTGTATGGTCCCCTCTTTGCTGTCGACCCGAGATGCAGGATAGAACGGGCTCGTTGCCACCGTAGTAAAACAGTGTCGAGAAGTGCGTTTACACCAATACTCTTCGGTGTTTGTACCGCGCAAACCTGTATACACAGTGTCCGTGGGGCAGCATCTTCGAGTACGTGCAACTGCTATTCAGCTTTCGCTTCCGAGATATAATGCAGGCCAAGGGGACAGCGGCTCGATCGCGACCGTCTTATCCTGTCAGCCATTCCGTCCATCGCATCGTGGACATGATTACGCACACTGCGGCCACGTACGTCGCCGGGAGCCCGCCCCAGCCGGACGTTTGGCCCTACTTTAGGCTTCTTCTCCGTCTCGTTTGCCGCTCAGTCCTACTTTCGAGTTCGCCAAGTCAACAGTTCTGGTCCTCCTCGATACATTGTTCGCACGCGTTCTGCGCCTCGCACTCCTACTGACTCCTTTCGTCCCGTGCTCATCACTCGCCTTGGCGTTATTTGCCAGCAGTCTCTGCTCTAGACCACCACATGACCTCTATCGACTGCGTCGAAGCAATCGATACGGTCATGTTCGGGCCTCCAGACGGCTTTCCCGCTTACCCAGTGGATCGATCGATCATCAGAGCTTCCGACCATACGGACCAGTTCTGCCTCGTGCAACTTGCCCATCGAATCTGCAGCAGGGCACACACATCACTTATTGCATAGCGTTGAAGCGGTTGCGTCTCCAGTGTCATGCGCCACTGCATCTGTGGCGTAAACACTGAGCCCACCGTTCGAGCGAGCGGCCGATAGCGTGACGTCCGCCTCTTTCGCCCAACTCCTCTCGATAGTCTATCGCTGTACTGAACAGCTCGTCACGCCGTTATAATTTCTTTCTCGAGACTGTCGCGTGCTTTTGGATACCGTGCGGTTCCTCCGCTCTTGTCGCTCGTGCGCCTCTTTCTCCCTACACTGCACCTGCTCTGCAGCCAGAAAATGGCCGTCGCAACGGAACATACCGCCGTTCTATGGACCCGCCTCTCGTCCGCGAGGCTGTCATAGGCATTGCAGCTCCCATCGCTCGACTATGTCTCGACACTGTCCAGCAGTACGTTGTCAGTGGATGGCGGTCCACTTGAAGTCAAGTGAAAATCCATCGGGAGAGGCGTGTGCAGCGCAACGGAGCGACGCCACGTGGTTGTGTTTTGTCCAGCACTTTCGCGTCTTGACACTTCTTTCGTACCAGCTGTGTGTCTCCTATCGCAGGTCGTCGATAAAGCTCTCTAAGCTCCGATCGTCCATGTACATACGAACACGCAGCGTTGTGTGGTGGGAAACGTATGGTATACACAGCGTCTCTCCGACACAATATGAGCAACGGACAGTTATTTGCCCACTTGCCCAGATCTACAACTGTCTCGCACGATGAACTTGTTCGTGCCGCGCGCAAAGTCCTGTATCGATTGAGACTTGTCATAAGAGGCTCACATCGGAAGCTGCAGTAAGACCTACGCGTCAATTCGACACAGAGATAGAGAAAGAGATGATGCCGTCTCTCTCCTAAGTTGCACGTACAGCTAACAATCCGACCGACTGGAATGGTCGGTGACTTGACGTGTCGAGTTTTGGCATGGCGCATCGGCAGGTGTCGACATGGTGGTGGTCTCAGCAATTGCAATGGCGTCAGGAACGATCGATCGTGTCTGCAGATCAGACCACAGCCGACTGTACCTGCTACTTGGTGGTCGTGACGGTCCATGCGAGATGTCTAGACACACAAGATCGATGAAGTTTGCAGTTATACGAGCTGGTCACGTGCTAAGAGTGTAGAGACTTATCGTTCATCATTCCGATGGGTAAAGCGAACGACAAAGGTTACCGGTGACTGGCGAAAGAAGCACAAATGCAGCCTATGCAGCCTATGCTGAGGAACGAGCTGATAAGGGTATGCGCATGAAGCGATACTGGAGCATCTACATGTTCGACCACCGCAGAGTATGCAACTTGCAAAGTGACTCGATCAAGGAGGAACGACCTCATCGCCACGCACATTGACGCCACGAGCACATTTTGGGCCTAACATTCCGCTCGCTATCCAAAATACATCAACGGTACATGGCAACTGACAGCTGTCCAATGTATGATTTAGGGGCTAAAATAAATGATTTTATGGGGCTCGTCACGACTATACAAGTGAAGTATTGCCGATAGATCGAGCAAGTGGGCGTCAAGTATACACCCACACAGTATCCGAATCCCACATTTGTAAGCGCATAGTGAGCACGAGAATGAATGAGTCCCTCAAGCCTATTCAAGCCGAGTGTATTGGACGGCCTCTACAAACTTCTGCGAGGCACGTGACACACGTCGCGAACTCAAAGACAGAAAGCTGCTCTGATGCTTCTGTACTGCGATGTTTCAAATTGTCAACGATTGCGTGTCCATTCGAGTGCTGCAAACCATTTGTTTCGATGATCCCGGTTTCAGCTTTACTGCCTGGTGCCTCCAACAATACTATCGGCGACGGCTACGAAGGAGCACCAACTCGTGGTACAGCAATTGCACAAGACACACACACGACAACAGAGTGCCCACCTCAAGCAAAACAAACACTGGACCCCATGAACACACCTGTACGCAGTCAGCGCTTTTCGGATCGCACCCTTTCGGCTCGTAGTGGCAACCGGCCAAGTGTCCCACGAGATACTGCACAAGAGCCGCACCGACACTGCCCGTTCCGTCGATGATGCCAGTGACAGTCGCTAACGCCTCAGTATTGCCACGAATGCTCTCGTGGGTGCCTAGATCAGCCGAAATAGCGGTGCTGATCAGGTTTGCCGGGCCACCAAGCATGAACCCTGATGCGAGCAACAATATTGCAGTCGTCTCGTACGAAGCGCCATCGAAGAAGTAGAGCGTGATGCTAACGAAACAAAACAGGCACCGAGGGCATTAGCAAAGCAGCAACAGGCAACACCACGTTCCTTGGCTTTCCTCTTCCATACCACGAGAACAGCAGCATAACCACGACAACGGGAGACCGCACGCCCATCTTGTCGGACGCCATTCCACCCACAAAGCCACCAACGATTTGTCCGGCATCATACAGCATCTACTTACACACACACACACACGCACACACACAACAGCAACAACAACAGAGCAACCACCGCCACCGCTCAATTGTGTCAATGCCATCATCCATCTCGCATGCCCACGCACAACCGTCCGACTAGTCCACGCACCGAGAACGACCCAGCCTCGGAGTTTCCCATGTGCAGCGACACGGTCAGGTAGAACGGGATCCAGAAGAACAAGGTGTAGTTGACAGCTTTCAAGCACGCGTACGACAACGAGTACGGCAGCACCTGCACCAGCATCAACACCACAACATCCACAACAAAAAGTAAGTACATCAATCAAACACCCACCCACTCAACAACTATCACGACAGCCACCTCACCCCTGGAATGCACCACGCTTCAAGAAACCCAATGCCCCCCTTCTCCATCTTCTCCTCCTCCTCCTCCTCCATCTTCTCCTCCTCCTCCTCCTCCTCCTCCTCCTCTTCAATCGTCCACGCCCTCTCTGGCTTTGCATCACTCAACGTCTCTGGAAAATACGGCACGTCCTGCGGGTCCGGGTACAGCAGCCAGTACACGAGCAGTCCATACAGCGCCACGAGCACGGCCACCACCACGAGTGCGAGCTTCCACGCCACCGTCGCCGGCGCGAGCGCAAACAACAGCGCCACGAGCGCTGTGCCCGCCATGTTGCCCACGCAGGCGTTGCCGCTCCAGACGCCGAGCACTGCGCCGCGCTCCGATGGGCCGAACCACTTGCCCATGACCGCGACGTTCGCTGGCCAGCCACAGGACTGCACAAAGCCCGTGAGCGCCCACACGAGCGCGTAGAAGCTCAGCGCGTGCACGTCGGCCAGCGCCGCGAGGCCAAACCCGAGCAGCAGCAGCGCAGTGGCCGCCATACCGCCCGCCAGCAGTCGCCGCAGGTCGTACGCGTCGCCCACGCGGCCGCTCAGGAACAGACCGAGCGCGTAGCAGCCCATGAACAGCGTGTCGAGGAGGCCCAACAGCTCGGCCTGTTGGTCGCGGGCCGCCGATGCCGACGACGACGCGCTGTGGAGCCACTGCTCGTCGCTCATTTGGCCCTTGATGGCCGAGAAGCTCTTGCGGCTCGCGTGGAAGAGCGCGTAGCTGCCGAACGTGAGCGCGAAGACGCCGCGCGGGGTGGCGGCCGCGCGGGCGCAGGGCGGGAGCGGCGACGACGTCATGCGGCCATGTGATTGGTGGACACGCAAACGGGGGGCGGAGCAGGATAGTGGGACGCGATAGCGAGATGGGTATACAGGAGTTTGCAGGGTAGAAAGGGACAAGGACGGGGGACCGTGTGGTGTGGGGGCGGGTTGGGTGAATGGGTGGGTGTGTTTTTGGGTTTTTTGCGAGTGGAGTTGGGAAAGAAAAACCCATCGCGGTGATATCGCGGGTGAAACGAATGCACAGGGAGACGACACGCGAGAAGACTTTATTCCATGCAAGAGGTGATCGCGCGTCGGCCGCGGCACGGCCGTGACGACGTTGGCGTCAGCGACGCGCACGACGTGAGCGAGGCAGTGTCCATGTTGCCGGCGTCGATGCCGCGGCAGCGCTCGCTGCCTGAGCGTTATGTGCGCGTTGCAATGGACAAGCTCTGGTCGCTGGTGTTCCTGACCGTCGCGTCGCTCGGGCTGTTTGAAGCGCATTTTGGGACGGATATAGTCCACGCGGCTTCTGCGCGTCGCACGTTTGTGCATTTGGGCGTTTTGTGGGGGACGCTGGTCGGCGTCTTTGGTGGGTACATTGAAGTGTACCGAAACGTAGTGTTAGGGGAACACGTGCGGTACGAGAGCGTGAAAACCGCGACGCACGGCATGCTCGCGTCGATGTTGCTGTCGGGCCTTTGGTACGTGCTAAGTTCGCGGGTGCGGAATAGCGTGCTCTATTGGTGAGGTTTTTTTTGACGAGCTGTGGGTGGGTCTCTGTGGTCGATCACTTTGCGCAGTTTGACCATTGGCATGTGGCCAGTGTGGCACTGGCTCACGCTGCCGTACCTGATGATGTGGTCCTGGGGCGTCGTCGTCCAGCTGCTGGTGATCCTACCGCCAGTGTTGCAACGAGTCGTCTTTGTCGGGGCCTACTGTTGGTTCATGTACTCGTACCTCTCTGCGTATCTTTTGTAAAAGGAAGGACCGTAGAAGTAGGTGGTGCAGCCATCGATTGGTACTTGAAGGAAAGCAGCTCGTTGACAAGCGAACGAAAGCGAGTCAATGTTGACATCGTGGAGTGATTGAGCACTAGAACGCCTATTAAAACGGGGCGGTCTGCTGTGGCGTTGTCAATCGGACACGCATGTTAGTCTATCATGAATTGAGAGTGAGAGCACCCACAGCAATGGAAGTCTATGGTATGAACCGCCGGTACTGTGCATCTTTCTTTCTCTACCAGCCCTGGAACTTCGACCGGTACTATGCCTCGTCTCGAGACCGTCCGCAGATCGGTTGTAGTCACTCCCTTAGCACGAGCTTTGTGTAACGAAATGACCGTCGACGTGGGCTGTGTATGATAAAGGATCATCGCATTACCTGTTGAGCTCACACTGAAGCGCCTGTGCGCTTTCAGTTGTTTTCTGGTAATGGTAAATGAAAACCAGTCGATGTGCTGAATAGCATTGCTCACTTACCCTCAGTCGCTAAGGAGCGCGTTCGAAGCAGGTCGTATGCACCACTACGACTCTCTCTTCATCGTCTTGTGCTTCGTATGGATCAGCAGTCGCCACATAACCGGATGTCGGTCATATTGAACACTGGTGCGCATTAGCCATCCCACGAACAAGGCACATGTACAATGGATGTTTTTCCATCCAAAACGAAATCCTTTGCACTTAATTGACCTCAATATTGATTGTGTTTCTTTCGCGCTCTTGTCGTGTTTTCGTAACCGACTCGAGAGGACGATAACTCACCGTATCTATCAGACCAACCGATGCATGACACTCATGCCTCGTTATCGCACGCTATTGCATTCGATACGCTCTATTTTGCATGTCAACAGAATAGAGCTGCAGCGTCATGCCTCGACGTCTGCATATTACACTGTAGCACAAGTAGCGTCGCTGGTGAGCTCAAGTGGACCTGCACAGCTTCAATCGATGCTGAATTGAGCACCATAATGGCATCTGAGGATCAGTACGCAGTGGCATAAGGCGAACAAGGACACCATGTGCTCGCAAGTTCGACGTCACCTGTTCGTCATGACAAAGTGACACGGCAGTTCCTTCCTTGTACGATCAGTGAGTGGAGTAGCACAGGACTTGGCCATCGACTGCGGTCTTGCAGTGACTTGTTCGTCCACGACCCGTCGTCACGAGTGCCGAATGCCGTCAAGACGGTACCTCGAGCTTTTGACGATGACCAGGACAAACGAGCACGAACGGTCCGATGAGCTCGTCAGGAAGAGCACGTCGGACCTCTGTAGACTGTCCGTCGAACTCCCTCTATGTTTTGCTCCTTCTTCATCATGTGTGGTTTCGTTCGCAGAGAGTGACGAGCAGCAACGACGACACGAACAACGCACAGTGTGTGCAACGCCACCGGTGCGACTGTATAGTGGTTGCAACGCAGCCGCCGCAACGAGTTGAGCACAGAGCGTTGCCACCGCTCGACGACGTAGGACCTCAGTAGTACGTTGCACGCAGTGGTAAACATGCGATACCGGAGCAAGTGCCAACTGAGTGTGCATGCAGTCAGCCGGCCGCTCAGTGTACAGTCTCCAGCTCTTCGTATGTTGTGCCATTTGGTAGTAGTAACCAGTCGATGCTGTTTTGCTCAGTGTCGACTGCCCCTGCGAAAGCCATCGGTGATCAAGTTGACGTCGGTGAAGCAACAAGCTGAGGTGAGCAGCATAAGGTGCTGGCAGACACTGTCTGTACATGTCGTTCGGACTAACGTCAACGACGACACCATCTGCACGTTCCAAGCCCTCAGGTGAACAACTTCAGGTCGTCCTGGCAAGACGCAGCTCATTCCATGTCAGTCCCTGGATCTGCAGTACTACCTGACAGCTCAACTCGTTGCATCCCAAGTTCACAACGACAACGGACTCTGCGGTAGGTCTGGTTGAGACTTGAGCCTCATCACGAAGCTCGCGTTGTCAAAGGCGACTGCTGTCTGGAGGTACGGACTGTGCCTTGTCGATGCACCTTGACGTCCACTGTGTCCTGCATGACAAGCTGCAGGTTCCAGTAGACAAAACGGGTAGCAGCAGTAGCAGGTCCCCTCTCGTCCAGCTTTCCCAGGTCCCTTGTGATCCGACACCTGCAGATTCCTAGGGCAAATCGCAACCCCACGTGCGAGGCAAAGCTTCAGCGGCACCGTCACACTTTCCCCACTGCTGTTGCAAATCGATCATCTCTTTGATGGCTCTCGACAGCTGCCTCAACCTGCTGCCTACCTCCATCCAGATGTGCCCGGTCGTCGAGCTGCACCGCTATTGTCGAGGAATGTCACCTCGTGTCGACGGCACCCGTTAGTTGCAGGCACATACAGCAGAGCGACGCGCACGACCCGACCGTAAACGTCCAGAGGTTAGTCCGGTGCACGTCACAGTGTGCTGCGACACATTGGTCCCCCCACTAGGTCTCGTCGCGCGCGGCACGAGCGTAAATGAGCGCTCGCATGGTCGAGACCTTTCGACAACAGTAGACAGACAGGTGGGGGTGCGAGCTGAGCTATACGGACGCGTGGGTCGCTCTCACCTACCAGACGCCCCGAACGCGATCGGTTGTCGCACAGCTGGCAATTACTGGCGCTGACGACGTCCGCTGAAAGAGTCTTCGCGATCAGACAAGAAGGAGCGTACACGTTGCAGCCGTCTTCTGTCGTCGGGTCGGTCAGTAGCTCACTTGCCAACACGAAGAGCACCGCCGAGGCCCTTCACATGACAGCCGCCACCCGACGCGCCACAGCGCCCGCGCCCCGCACGGATCAGACTGAACAGGACGCATTGACTCGAGCGTTCCCACGCCGAGCTACGGCTCCGAGCACCTTCGAGTCGAGCGGACACCGGCGGAGGTACACGCTGTTCCAGACGCAGTCCACACGGATACCATTGCAGCTGACGGCTACATCGCCCTCCCGGATGGCACTGGAGCCAGGTACGGTCGAGGGCTTTCGGCATTTGGCCCATAGCATCGTGTCGAGGACACTGGCGGTCGAGTGCGAGTACGCCCGACGCGGGCGACCGGAGCAAGCGGAAAGCGACTGGAAGCTGCACAAGAAGCACAACCACCTGGTTGTCTACAAGCGCCGAAGAGTCCAACGGGTGGCTCCTTTGGACCAGCCTCGAGGGGCGGCAACGTCGTCGTCGCTCGAGAAACCGCCGACCGTCCTCTGCGTCGGGTCGGTCGAAGGCACGATCGAAGACATTCTCTACGGCGTCCACGCCAAGACGCGGCGGGAGGTGGGGGCGACCATGGCGTTCCTCGGTCGGACCCCTCTCGACTGCGACGTGCTGGCGGTCCTCGAACGCGGCACCGACGCGGACCCGTTCCGTCACCTGTCGGTCAAGTACCTGCTCACGGCCATCTGCGGCGACACGCGCGTCGTGAACAATCGCGACGTCTGTGCGCTCGAGTCCATGGGCGTCGGCCACGACGCGCAAGGTGAGCGCTATGGCTACTACCTCCTTCGGAGCATCAGCGTGCCCGAGTGCTCGCCGCTACCTGAAGACAGCGGCGTCGTGCGCGCAAGTGTCACCATGTGCTGCATCTACCGACAAGGCCCAGGCACTACTGTCCACGTGTACAGCAAAGCCATGACCGACCTCGGCGGGGCGCTCCCCGGGTTCATCGCGTACGACGCCGCCGCCGACCTCCTGCTGTCGAACGCCGAGGCCGTGAACAGTGCGACAGCGAAACGCCTCACGGCTCTAGCGCTTCGGCACGCGCGGTTCCGACCGTCCAAGGCGGAAGAGGCCGAGGACCTTACGGCTTCGTCGACCTCAGAGCTGCCGTCGAACGCATCGCCATGCGCGAAACCGTTTGACATGCAGAGCCCCACGAGTCCGTCGTCCACGGCGCCGACCGTCGTAAGCGACGCACACGCGACAGCGGCGCACAAGCCACTGGTCCAGCCCTGCAGCGTCTGTGGCAAGAAGCCAATGATGGCGAGGCTCGTGCACTCGAGCCAGCGCACCTGTGGCGTGTGCGACCACTACGTCTGCAGCAAGTGCAGCGTCAAGCAGATCTTGTACGCTCGGCTGGAACCCGTGGCCGTCGCTTGCTGCAAAGCCTGTCTTCTTGCAGCCAAGCAACTGGTAGTGGACCCCCGCGACCCGTTCCCCATGGTCGGGTATCAAACACGCTAGTTTCGCTAGCGTCGGAAGCTCCGTGTCCATCGTCGTGTCACTTGCCTGTTCCTCCTCATTATCATCATGAGAGGACGCGAGTAGTAGAAGTAACGTACCCGAAGAAACCAAAGCCACTTTCTCGTCACGACTTCCTCCTCGTCGACCTCGTCGCGCCTGCGCCACCTGATCGCAACCATCGCATGCGTTTGCCCCTCCGTTCATCAAGTGCATCACCAGCAACAAAGTTTGCAGTCGCAGCTTCATACGACGGACCTCCAGCGTCGTCAAAGTGTCTTGCGCTAGACAAAGGTGGTCATCGTGGGTACCCAACAGCTACTCAACCGGCTTCAAAGAGCAGGTCCGCAGCGTGTTCGAGCTTCCCAGAGCCCGTACGACGGAGACTCTGCCGCGGACGAACGCCACAGCTGGTCGTCGTCGGCCAACACACACGCGCTCGAGCCGCTGTGGTCGTCGATACAAAACGACGACGCCAGCGACTTCTACCAACTTGCACCCCGTTTTTCCTCAACCTGACTCACCATCCGATGGCCATATGAGCCGCAACCAGCCGAGAGACCCACTGAATGGTTCGGCCACTTGGTCTGGAGAAAGCGAGTTCCGATCCGGCAGCTACGAAGAGCGACTCGCTCGCGGGTGTTGACCGACGTTTTCGTCAAGAGAAGTTCCAGCGCTGTTTGTCGTTGTGAGACGCACTCCTCAATTCGAGTCGCATTGCTGCGTGCCTTCGACCACCACCTGACTGCATCATGCGCGCAGCCCATAACCGACGAGCAGCTACGCACCCGAACGGCGACAACGACAACAACGGACCAGCGGATGCCTACCTGCAACTGGGCAAACGTCACTTGACGGTATTCGAGGAACAAGAGATCTGCAGCGCACCGCTACCGACGCGTCGACATAACGCTCTGTCCCCGACGCTGCAGCTACGGCACGACGAGGTCGAGGCCTTTCGCAACTTGGCGCACCGTATCGTCGCGAGCACGTTGATGCAAGAGCGGGACTTCCGGCACTTGGGGTGCCGCGAACCCGATGAGAAGCAGTGGAAACTGCTCAAGCGACGCGAAGACCTGAGCGTCTGGAAGCACGTGCCACGCCACAAGCCTCTCGACAAGTCGAGCAGTGCCTCGTGCAACGTCCGGTGCTCGGGTACGCTCGAAGGCAGTATGGACGACATGCTGTATGGCACGCACTCGAAAACGCGCGACGAGATGCACGCGACCGCAGCCTATTTGCACAGTAGCCACATGGACTGTGCCGTGCTCAATGTCCTGGACCGCGGCTCGACCGAAGACCCGTTCAGGCAACTAGCGCTCAAGTGGTCGGTCGCCGAAGCCTTTGGCGACGCGCGGCTGGTAAACCACCGCGACTGGTTCAACATCGAGTCCACGGGCACGGGCGTTGATGTCTCTGGCCAGCGGTATGGCTACTTCCTCGCGCACCACGTCGACCACGCCGGGTGCCCGCCCATGCCGGACCACAGCGACGTGATAAGGGGCAAGATGGCCATGTGCTGCATCTACCGCCAAGACGCCGGCTCGAAGGTCGTCCACGTGTACGCACGCGGATCGATTGATCTAGGGGGCGGCCTGCCGGCGTTCATCACGAGCAGTGCATCCTGTGCCATGATGTTTTCCATGGCCGTGTCCATGGACAGCGCAGCCGGCAAACGGCTGACAAAGCTCGCGCTTCTTCGGCTTGCCGAGCGAGCCAAGGAGCGAGACGAGGGCCATACCGAGACAGAGGTCCAGGCGGACTTTGGACGGTCGCACGCGGGGCTCACCACGAGCTCCGTGAGGGACTTCTTGTCGGCGTCAATGGTCTCGTCGTCAATGGTCTCGTCGTCGACGTACTTTGCTGCTGATGCCAAGAACAGGTCGCCAGGACCCCTACAGCCACCACCGCCATCACGGGTGTCCCGCAACCCATGTCATGTCTGCGACAAGAAGCCGACGACGCTAACGCTCGTTCGACCGGCGTACCGGCAGTGCGGTATCTGCCGCGAACGCGCGTGTAGCAAATGCAATGTCAAGCGAAAGCTGTTTGGTCGAAGAGGTCCAGTGACGGTCATGTGCTGCAAGATCTGCATCCTCCAGTCGAAGCGCTTGAGCATCGATCCTCGAGAGCCGTGTCCGATACTTCCGTAGAGACTCGAGGCTTTATCTAATAAATGTTGCGTCCGTGCGTCCATGCATCCGTTCGTCCATCGGGTTACTTGTCTGCTGTGCATCCTCTCGTTCTCGCTTGCATGTACACGTGCACGGAGCAACACTTGTAGATACCGTACACTCCTTATATATCACAAGCAAGAGCGAAGTGATGCATTCGCTTCGCGGGTAGCATTGACCCTTCGCACTATCGACACCTGATAGTACCGTAGAAGCTACACAAGAGCACGAGATGGTCATCTCTTTGTGACGTCTGTTTGGTCACAGCCTTCTGTTACGATTCGGTTTGTGCCTGTGGCTTGCCGAGCGTCCTCGTCGCTTGCTCACGATCGCTCGTGTTGTGGCGTGCTGGCAACCTCGTGCTAAACAATCCAGAGCTAGAATGTACGTCCTGCCAACGTTCTTTGCATTGTCACGTCACAAGTGTCATGCCATAGTGGTGGTAGAAGAGCTCACGTAACGTTGCGGTAGCTCATACAGGCTATCGCTATTCAGCGATGATGCCTTAGGGTCAACGAGCTACCGAATGAGTACTTCTTGCCCATCTCATCGGTTCGCTAGGCTCGATGTGCACTGCTACCGCCCTCGATACTGCCTTTGCTCACGTCCTGTCACGATGTTTTTTTGTATAAAAGTGGTCTCTACCTGATGTCGACACCGCTATTGGACTATTCGAGCTAGCAAACATCCGCCATCAATACGCTGTTCGCCATGCGCTGTCACTTATGGATCTTCATGGCTGCCCTGTTGTCACGTCAAGTAAAGCGGCCTACCACTTCAACGACTCCAGCTCGGTCAAGAGCGACACTGAGCCATTACCAGCTGTCGAGGGAGCTTTACGATGTGTGTGTAACGGTTCAACAAAAACGGTCGCGAGATGTGTCGATACCGTAAGCCATTCTCACATGACGTATGGGCCGCTGTGACTATTATGACGGTCTCGATCCGTCCTCGGCTATGCATGTAGCGAAGAGGCAGAAGAAACAACATGTTGCCTAATACATGATGAAATACGGGGTGCTCTAGTCGGTTTGTACCATCATGCGTTTCCATGACCCAGCGCGTGCTCTGCGTGGAAGGCCTTACTCGTGCTATACGCTGTGTTGGCTCAACTCTTTGACAGGTCTGAGCGTCCAGCCTCACTCGAGGCTACAATTGCATCGATCGTCCGATATGAGTAGCCTCATAGTCCGTCCTCGACGGAAAGAGAAGACATCGTACGGTCATAGAGCGCGACGCCTCTTGACACGACGCTCTTTTGTTGACACACGTCGAAGGGTGGCAGTTAGGCATCACGCACATTCTAACGACAACATGTCGTCCACCTGCTCAACTACTCGGGTGCCTTCTAGTGTCCATCGGACCACATGTACTGGAACTTGTCGATCGACGTAGAGGATGATCCGATCAGTCGATCAGGTGGTAGTCGATCTATAGACTTACTACATCAGCTTGGCAAGCGTCACCGCCTGTTCATTCACAATAATTTGCCACCTGCCCCACGATAAAGACAAGAAACACATCGATCGTGTGAGCGAGCAGTGCCGAGCTACTCTCTCATGCGTCTACTAATATCACGTATGGAGTGATTGACCTGCCGAGATTCCACTTTGCAGGTCGCGTCGTTGCTCGGTACCGGCTCTTTTCGATCAAGAATGCCACAAGCTCACCCCGAGGCGCAACCTCATGAAGTTCGTGTCGCTCTCAAGCTTAGCATCGTAGAAAAATGTGCCAATAGTTGCAATCACTGGTTCGCTACAAGAGTCTGCTTCATTTCCTGTGCATCGGCAATGTTTCTGTGTTAAAGACACCATATGCCGAACGACTCGTCCTGACAATGCACAGACCATTCGCGTGAAAGGTTCGATCAGACCATTGATGGCACTTGTCAATCTGATGACCGTAGCGCACAAAAGCATGATACTTAGCATGTAGCAACCGATTCAGTCGAGCGAGCTCACACGAAATCGAGCAAAGATAGCGCATACTACCAAGTCGTAGGATCGATGACATGCTGCCGGGCTCTACGATGACATCGTTGATGAGTGCAGCGATATCGTCGGATGCGATGACACTGGATGATGCGACTTGACTTACAGGGCTCGTGTGTCTCCCCACTGCAGATATCAGGAAAGCATTCTGCTGGGACAATCGTCCACAATCTGCAACTTTGATCATGTATGCTTCTTTAGGGGTGAATGATGGGATCGGAAGTCTTTCGTTGTGGCGAATTGATTGCCACACGCACAACTATTATCATTCTCGACAATTAACTTACACAGTCATTCCTGTATACACGCATGTATACTAAAGTCGCACGGGACGCGGTGTACAAGCTCGTCACTGCAAATGAGTATCCAACTGCCCCAACTTCCATCGGCCGTGCGCCTCGTTTCTCGAATGCCGCATTGCCGGTACGTCACTCACACCCTATCAGCGCACCGTCCGTCCGCAAACCGTTCGCATCATCATTCTTCCGCCATGTCGCTCGTTTCTGCCCACCACCCCGAACATTCCAGACAAAAAACTGCTTTCGCCCGATCTTCTCTCTCTCTCTCTCTCTCTCTCTCGCCACTTTCCAATCAACCGCTTTTTATAAAAAACGAAACCACGCGCGACGGCAAGGGCAACCGCTCGACCATCACTCTGCCATGTTCCGCACTCTCCTGTTGCGCCCGGCAACCCCGCGCGCACTGCGCCCGGCAACGGCAACAGCAACAGCAACTTCAACCCGCGCGCTTCCGCGCCTTTCTCACCTCCAACGCTTCGCGTCCATGGGCGGCGCGTCCACGCCCTGGGTCAACCCGCAGAACGTCCCGCAGGGCGAGAGCCTCAAGAAGTACGGGCGCGACTTGACCGCGTTGGCGCACGCGGGCGAGCTCGACCCGGTGATTGGCCGCGAAGACGCCATCCGGCGTGCGACGCAGATCCTCTCGCGCCGCACGAAGAACAACCCGATCCTCATTGGCGACCCGGGCGTGGGCAAGACAGCGATCGCCGAAGGCCTCGCGCAGCGCATTGCGCTCCAGGAAGTGCCTGCGAGTCTGCAGGACAAACAGGTGGTGGCGCTCGACCTGGCGGCGCTCGTGGCGGGCGCCAAGTTCCGCGGCGAGTTTGAAGAGCGCTTGAAAGCCGTACTCAAGGACGTCGACGAAAGCCACGGCCGCGTGATCCTCTTTATCGACGAGCTCCACACGCTCGTGGGCGCCGGCGGCAACGAGGGATCGACCGACGCGGCCAACATGCTCAAGCCCGCGCTGGCCCGCGGCACGCTCCACTGCATGGGCGCGACGACGCTGGACGAGTACCGCAAGTACATTGAGAAGGACGCGGCGCTCGCGCGGCGGTTCCAGCCCGTGGTGATCGCCGAGCCGAGCGTCGAGGACACGGTGACGATCCTGCGCGGGCTCAAGGCCAAGTACGAAGTGCACCACGGCGTGCGCATTGCCGATAGCGCGTTGGTGGCGGCGGCAACGCTCGCAAACCGGTACTTGACCGAGCGCAAGATGCCGGACAAGGCTATTGATCTCATGGACGAAGCGGCGTCGCGCCTGCGGCTGCAGCAGGAGAGCAAACCCGAAGCGATTGAGACGTTGGACCGCGAGCTGCTCTTGCGGCGGATTGAGATTGAAGCGCTGCGGAAAGAGACGGACGCGGCGTCGAAGAAGCGCATGGCGGCGCTCGAAGACGAAGTGGCGCGCGCGGACGCAGAGCTGCGGCTCTTGATGGACGAGTGGCACGCCGAGAAGCTCAAGTTGGAGGAGATGCAGGATGCCAAGCGCCGGCTTGAAGACGCGCGGCGGGAGCTCGTGGCCGCGCAGAATAGCGGGAACTATGCGCGCGCGGGCGAGTTGATGCACGCGGTGATCCCCAAGTTGGAGGCGGACGTGGCGCATGAAGAACACGAGGAAGAAGAAGGGGGGAAGAAGACGACGAAGACGAAGAAGAAGAGCCGCACGGCGCTGGGCGATGCCGTGACGGCTGATCACGTGGCGGAGGTCGTGGCCCAGGCGACGGGCATTCCCGCGTCGACGCTCATGGAGGGCGAGAAGCAGCGGCTGCTCCAGATGGAAGAGCACATGAACCAGCGCGTGATTGGGCAGGAGGAGGCCGTGAAGGCCGTGAGCAACTGCGTCCGACTCGCCCGCGCTGGACTGCACGCGCACAACCGCCCGCTCGGTGTGTTTATGTTCTTAGGTCCGACTGGCGTGGGCAAGACCGAGCTGACCAAGTCGCTGTCGGAGTTTCTGTTCCAGACGCCGCAAGCGCTCACGCGCATTGACATGTCGGAGTACATGGAGAAGTTCAACGTGAGCCGTCTGATTGGCGCACCTGCGGGGTACGTCGGGTACGAGGAAGGCGGGCAGCTGACTGAAGCAGTGCGTCGTCGCCCTTACCAGGTCGTTCTCTTTGACGAGTTCGAGAAGGCCCATCACGACGTGAGCAACATCTTGCTGCAAGTGCTGGACGAGGGCCGACTCACGGACTCGCAAGGCCGTCTCATTGACTTCCGCAACACTGTGATCATCCTGACGAGCAACTTGGGCTCGGACATTCTGGTCGGCTTGCCGGAAAGCACACCCAGTGCGGTCGTGGAAGCCGAAGTCATGAACGTCGTTCGCGCGCACTACTCGCCCGAGTTCCTCAACCGCATCGACGAGCTCGTGTTGTTCAACCGCTTGAAGCGCGAGGATATCCGGGCGATCGTTGATCTGCAGCTTCGCCAAGTGGACGCGTTGCTCGAGGAGAAGGAGCTGTCGATGAAGGTCGACCCGGCCGTGGAAGACTGGCTGGCTGACGTTGGCTATAGTCCCCACTACGGTGCGCGTCCACTGAAGCGTCTGATCCAGCAGCACGTGCTGAATCCGATGGCCGTGAAGCTGCTAGAAGGAGCTGCTGGCCCGGGCCACGTTATGCACGTCAAGATGAATGCCACGTACGACGAAGAACTGGTCAAAGACGCCAAGACGGCAAAGCCGCTTGTTATCACTGTGGAGTGAGGACGAAGAAGGGCGCTGCGAAGACGGCTTTGTAGTCGCAACTGGGCACGCAAGCACCTGTATTTAATGCACGTATACTGTCGTCATCTCTTTTCGTGAAATGTCTGCCGTGAAGCCTACCAACACAATACGCAATACGCCATTGCATTTGCAAACACGCCGACAAAGAGATAGACGGACGCAACTTACATTACATCATGCAACATACTGTGACCCGACAAGACCTTCTGGCACAACACACGCACATGCCGCGCGTCAAGTATGATACTTATTGCCTGCATCCTCATCCTCCCCATCAACCAGTATCCTTCCTAGCACTCGCTTGTTCAATGCGCGTGTTTGCACGATTTACACTTCTTGTTCCATACTTGCGTCGAATGGGCCTGAAACATGGGGCAATTGCACAGTCGGCACGGCCCCATGAGGGACGACCGGCGCTGTTGCTCCTCCTTGTGATTCGCAATGCCGCGCATGGCATTGTCAATTGCCTCGTACAGTGGCCGCGCAGCTGCTGGTTGTTCCACGTACCCGCTCAGCAACTCGCTCGGCTGCAAGTCGCGACCGTAAAACTTTCGGTTCATGTCGGACCGTGCAGCAACGATCGCCCCCTGCAGCGAAATGCCGGCGTACAGTCCCTTGCTGTGTGAATAACTATAGTTGGCATTCAGACCGCTCGTGCTCGCGGCTGCAGCTGCCTGTGCCGATCGACCAAACGGACCAACCGCGAGGTCCAAACCCGCGCCGAGACTGACTTGTGGCTTGTGGAACACCTTAACAGCGCCTTCCGATCCCAGAATGATCATGACCTCAATCAGTTCGCCGCCAATCTCAAAGCCGCCGCTCAGGCCAAACGTGCCAATGGCCGACGGCGCCGACCACGAGCCGTCCGGCAGTTTGGCAACGACCAGTCCCGTGCCAATGGTGCCCGAGACGAGGAAGCCAGCCTTGATCACCGTGAGGACCGCCAGGCCATGAGCTTTCTGCAGGAACGCCACGGGGATCGCGCGGTCCGCTGATGATCCCCAATCGTTGCGAAAGAAATTGCCAATCACGTCAGCGGCGTTGCAGCACTCTTTGTTCAAAGACGTGGTAAACGGAATGTGGAGACGGCCTCGCGCTTCGTGGACATTGTCCGTCTGGGACTGCGCATACGTTGCCACCAACTCGTCTTGAAGCGGGTGCAGCTCTGGGGCGCACTGGATGCACACGCGCTGAGGAATCGACGCGTCGTACTTCTTGGCGCCTTCAATCACTCGACTGGGAGGCACGAGCAGACGAACGGGCGAGCACGCGCTGCAGATATACTGTGCACACAACCGGCTGCAACAGCAGACAACAACAACAAAGACAGACAGCACACGATCCCGTCAGCCTCCGCCCCCTCTCGCATCATTACCAGCACTTGTGCTCCGTACCATTGATGGCGTCGCTTTGTCACGTCGAACCGCACGTGGCACACGTCGCAGTTTGGGTGATCAGCGTACCGGTTGTTCAGCACCCCCTTCTTCGTCATCGCGCCAGCGTCCGACTCGGTCATGCTCGACGTCCGGTTCACAATAGCCGCAGGCGGTCGCTGTCCATTGCTGTTGTTGTTGTTGTGATTGCTGCTGTTGTTGTTGTTGGTATTGCGAAAGCTAAAGCTCCTCGTGTGGCTACTGCCATTGCCATTGCCATTGCTGCTGCTGTTGGTGTTAGTGCCCGTGAACGCGCCCGGCACAAGTCGCTGCTGCGCGGCATTGTACTGCACGAGCTCCTTCCGCCGGTCGTCGTCCGGCACGAGACGCGCCAACGTCGGCACGAACGCGCCCGTGTCGCGCGCGCCGAGCTCAGCGACAAGCGACGCGTAAAACCGCTCGACTGTCATCTCGTGGAGACCAAACTGCCGGCAGTTGTGCTTGAACGTCTTGACCGCGTGGTCGTTCTGGCCGCCCTTCGACGCCCGCATCGTCTGCACGCACTGCTCGTAGAGCTGCAGCGCGTCGGCGCCCGTCGCGGCCGGCGGCACGTCGTCTGTCGTATCAGTGAGCATCTCGACGGTCATGGGACGCAGCGACGGACTGCTCGAGCGGTCGCTCGAAAGGGCGAACCGGACCGTGTTCGGTGCCTGTGCAGTGGCTGTCGTGTGGCTGCGGGTGCGGAAGGCGCTGGGCGGGGCCGCCGACTTGCCGCCAAGCGGCGGTACTGGATGGGCCTCGACGACAGGCGACGAGAACGGCGGCATCATTGCTGTCGTGCTATTGCCGCTGTTGTAGTTGTTGGCGTTGTTGTTGTTGTTGTTGTCGTTTGTGGACCCATTGGGCGCGTGGCGGTACGTCTGACCGCCAAATGCCGACGTGGACGCGCGGAATGCCGAGGCGACAAGGGGCACACTGCCGTCTCCTGGCGGCGTGGCGAGCGAAGAGCTGTGGCTGTCGGTCAGGAAGCGCTGGCCGCACTCGGAGCAGAATTTGCTGCGGTTCGTGGTGCGCGAGGCGCCGCAGTTGGTGCACACTTGAGCCATAGCGTGCAGTGCAATACTTGAATGACGACGAGGCGCTGCGACGTGGGACGAGGTCGATACGACCGGCGAGAGAACAATCGCCTGCGCGTCCCACTGGGCGTGAGGAGGTCTTTTGCAAAATAGCGACTTGTGCGAGGGTGTCACAGGGCGATGACTATTGAGGGGTCCTATGGAGATGGCAGTGTGTGTGCGTGTGAGTGTGTGTGGCTGTGGCTGTAGGAGTGTATGTCGTCGCGGGGGATGCAACGAATGGGTACAGCCGCCACGATCAGGGCGTCATCATGAGACAAGTCGCGTAAAGTTCATACACCTGCGAAACTCGATCACAATTTCTTCCTCGCGTTGAGGCCCGTGGACCGTCTAAATTGATTGATGCGTCGTCGGTCTGAGGTACGGCAGGAGACTGACTGCCTCGGGCTCATTTGGTGGTTGTCTCTCTCGTGGGGTAGCGAGTGTACTGAAGTAGTGTCACACAGTCGACGAGTCGAATCGCCGTTGTCCTCTCTACTGGTCGTCGCCAGTCGACTGATCTTTGTGCACTGTGTGGGTTTGAGGTATCGTATCTCAGTACTCGGGGAGTGGATTTTTTTCCGTCCACGAGTGTGTGACAGCGACGACAAGCGCAAGGGTGAGAAGAAACAGTCTGTCTGTGTCTCGGCCGCAGTGTTAGCTAACGACAGCTATGCGTCTTGATTTTTCAGCGCATGGGCAGAGCCAGATCCGCCATAAGCTGGACAGGTCGGACAAGATCCAGCACGAATCGCCTCGTCCATCCAATGGTCCGCCTCTTTTTGAACCAGCCATTCAGCCCTGGGGAAGATAGGGATCGTCAACCGGCCGTGACCATCTGCTGGCTACTTGCAACTCAGTCATCTGATCATCAACGACACACACAGAGTGTACCGAGTGCTGACTGACTGTAAAAACGCGCTGCGCTGAACGTGCTCGAGCGAAGGCGAATGAGACGAACGAATGAGCCGAGTCCATGGCCTCTGACCGATTACTTCCGAGAGCGATGCAATGTATTGTCGACTGCGGGTATCTGCCATGTTTGGCACATTCAACGGGTAAGAGCTTGTAGATCGGCTCAGTTAGTCGACATGCGTTGCATTCCTTGTAGCACTGCACAAGCCGTAGAAGCCGTCATCCTGTGTTCATTGAAAGTCAGCCAAACAATCGTTACGCGCATTGCGCGATTGCGCCTCGTCGTGTTTCTTGCAGCAAGCGCACGATCGTTAGCGGCACGACCGGCTTTGGACGCTCAATTCGTTTGAGTGAAGTGACGTTCTGGGCGACACAGTAGCGGCTCGCAAATGGAGTACCAGTATATCGATTAGTTGCTAGTGAACGCCAACTTATAGGCATTCGTGCCGTCCGGATGTGCCTCTGTCCCGGCAGCTTGCGTTGGGTCGAGCAACAGACCTTCAGGCGCCGTTGCAGCTCCATTAGCGCCGTTGTATAAGTATGGCGCCGCGGCCGAAGGTCTGTAGATCCTAACGGCGATGGACAATCAGGTCTGATCCCTTCGTAGTGCGTCGCAAGCGCAAGTTTTACTACCAGGTAAAACTCGCACTTTCCATAGCAGTCTCCGAGTTTAGCTCTACGCTAGTGAGTCGGCAATGACACACGGCATGAGAATGAGCATGTAGGCTTGACGCCGCCAGCGCATACGTGCGACTTCCTTCTTGCAAGTAAAAACATGCGACAACTTGCAGCGCTTACACAAGAATCTGTCAGAGCTTGATAGGCGATCACTTTCGGCTCTTCCTTGTAGCAGTGCCCGCTCCCGTACGACGTCATGAGTTTGCACGAACGAAGCGTCTGAATCATAGACCATGACGTCGTTCATCATCAGCAAGTCAATGTGCAGCGAGACCTCGCGATGAAATATGGATGTCGATCGAGATAAATTTGACACACAGCTGCGCATGTGGTAGTCCAGAACGTTTCCCGCTTGTGCTTGACGTGAGTTTGTTGGACGCCAAGTTCCATCCGGACCGAGCGGGCATTCAACTATCACCATGTTTTCGGTATGGGCGGTGACACAGCTGGGTAGAGCTGACTTGTCAACCAGGCTGTTCCTCTAATCAGTGCACGTTGTATATATCCTGTACGGGCACATTACCCCGGGCCATTAGCGATTCGCTGCAGAGTTTTGTCCACGGGCGTCAGATGTCGAAACCATTCATGATGATGATGGCTTAACTTTCAACAGCAGCACGGCGGATGGACATGCCAGCCGACCAGAGCAGATGCATCTTGCTATTAGACTTTCGAAAAGCGTACGATACAGTGGATCGCGATTTCCTGTTCGAAACTTTACGCCTCTTTGGATTTGACGAACGGTTTGTTGACCTCATGCGACGCATCCAATCAGGCACGTCAGCACGCTTTGTGGTGAACGGTTGCCAGCCCCGGGCACTACCGGTCAGCTCTGGCATTAGGCAGGTGTGACGGGACACACCCTTGCGTGAACTGAACGCAAGGGTATCGGTGCCCCGACAGACGTACACAAGGCAAGCGAGGAAGCGTAGGTAAGGTAAAAGCAGAACTGTTATATTAATATAATTAAGTCTTTGACCACTGTCTCTCTGTTTGACTTGACTTAATTATACTAATCTAACTGAGTGTATGGTGACGTCTCGTCACCACTCATTGCGCGCGTCTTGCGGCGATTGGTGGGTTGATATCATCAAGATATCAACCAATGAACAGACTCTTTGGTCGACCCTTCAATATCACCACTATTGGTGATATTGTTCAAAGAATATTCAACGTAATATTCTTTATTGTCATTATCTCTTCAAATGACAATTTCCATGTAACGAGCTGCCCCGTTACATCACCCCCTAACTGATAGTCACCGTGTGACTATCGAAAATATGGTGGCCACCCGTTGGCCACCATTGGGACAGGAAGCACTTGTTGGGTCCGTTCCATTCACTTTCCGCTTGACCTCGCATAGTTAACATGTCTACGCGAGGTGACTCAAGACCCGCACAGCCCGGTGCTGTGCCAGCCTCTGCGGCAGACGATTTGTCATCTGCTGCTCCTTCTCTGCCTACAGCAACAGGTGCTGCAGGTGCACGCGGTACCACATCGCGTGCGCATGATGACCCCGACATTGAGGTCATCTACTCTGGCGAGTCAGACGTGTCTGACTCGGGAAATGTATCAGAGGAGTCTCGATCACCGGCGACGCCTCAGTATTCGCCAAAGCCACTGCCGAACGAACGGACTCGTGAGTTGCATCACAGTCTGTTCAGCAGTGATGATGAAGGTCATCAGATTGGTGAGGAGTGTTACTCCTTACCACCGCCGACTTGTGCCTCTTCGCACGGGCGTGATGACGATGGCGTGAGCCGTCGTCAATCTGGGAGCCGTGGTACCGACAAGGTACCACTGTGAGGCGTGATGAGCTGAAACCGTGGCGTTTTCCCGAACGGGTCATCAATATCTTGTCTCACGAGACAAGCCAACACCATCGAATACCCTTATTCGATGCGACTGAGCTTCACGGCTTGAGTTCCAGCGCGGAGAACTTTCGCGCTGAAGGATTTTTTATCTGGATGTCTTTCTTAGACATCGATAATATAACGGCAACCAAAAGCGTGACAAGGCCTCGCTTTTGGCTGCGTGGAACGCATTCGTTTATACGTAAAAAGTTTCGGACGAGAAGGGTGGCTCAAGAAACTTGAGGCGACACGCCTCAGGTTCGAAAAGCGAACGCCAACCGGTGCCAGGTACCGGTTGCACTGTTTGTCGAGTGATGCAGAATTTCCTTGCCTCACATGGGGAGACCCTTGTGCGAGTTGTGTTACAACTCGCAGCGTGCACATAGGGATGTGTACTCCCTAAGTTCGCCCTGGGGAAGGGCACACATCTTGGCTGAGATGCGTGACGCGATCGCAAACTTGCAATCCGTCTACAAGCGCCTAGGGCGCGTGTTTACCGATGGGCCACATGACTCATCGGATGGGTCTCGTCATACTGGCGGACGAGACCTTCAACATCCATCAACAGCATGAGAGCGGGGCTCCCAGCTGTTCCAAGAGGGTAGATACCCCCGCCAATGGACGAGGTAGCTCGTCCTTGATCCTGAATCGTCACGGTGATTCAAGATACGCTCCACTAGAAAGCGTTGATCATCGTGAGCATCCACCAAAGGATGTGGTGGAGGAGGAAAGACCTCCTCCAGAGCCCCAGGCCCACCATCTCGACCCTTACGAGATGGATCGCGCAATCGATGAATTGCGCGATGACTTGAAGCACGAGCGCGACCGTCGCTACGCTTTGACTGATACCGTGCGAAAGAACCGCTAGGATCACGAGGCTGATCGGGCGAGGGATCGCGCCGGTTATGCCACAGCGCAGCTTCAGGTCGAGCGGGATGTCCGCTCCCTATTCGGCGAGCTGGCGACAGCTCGCGGGAAGATATCTCGGTTGAGCTTCGAGGTATCATATCTGCGCGACCAGAAGGATCGTCTGGAGCGCGAACGCAAGAACTTGATGGATGTTCTTGAACGTGGGGGCTATCTTCATCGGAAGAAGAAGGCTCGTACTGACAGTAAGGCCTGAGCCTCCCCACGTAAAACGTAGGATGCGTGCGCATATTACGTGGCAATTCGATCGTGTATGCATTGCCCTTGCGATGCAACACTCGAAATGACCCAATGTATTTCGGCAGTAGTTTACTACTGCCGACACTAGTGACTGCATGTCCAGGTAAGTTTACCGTAGACAGTAGTACTAGGTCGTTGTCCTTAAATGAAAGAACATTTGCTCTTCCATTCTTGTCTTCGTTCCGTTTCTGACGGTCCACCGCATTTGCGATGGAGTCCTGAACGAAACGGACTACCGCTTCTCGAGTCAACAGGAAGTTCTCTGCTGACTCTTTGTTTTGTCTTTCAGTGCGCTTCGTGCGCACTGCTAAGAGATTGCTCTCTTCATCAGCGAGGTTGTCTTCTTCCTCGCTGGCATATTCGTTGACGATGCTGAAT